GTCCTCGGCTGCTGGCTTGCAAACGCTTCGGGCTGCTGCTGGCTGCGCTGTCCTCGGCTGCTGGCCGCGGCTGCCGTCTGCTGGGCCTTGACCTGTGAACTCAGTCTGCGACTTCTACTGAGCTTCCTGACACCGCGTTTCACGAGGGATGTATAGCCGCCCTCCTGCTCAGGTTTTCACGTTTTGGACGGCGGTCCGTCCACCTTTCACACGAGGGGATAGTTGCTGCAGTCGGACTTCACTGCTACCTGTAGCATGCCCCCATTGGGAACAGTTTGTCGACATGCGCTTGTGCTGTTTAGGCTTGCCTTCATGCACTCCGAGTGTTTTTCAGTGACTGCCAACTTGTTGATGGCATCTGCTTGTACAGTGTACATGGGAAGATTTCAACTGGTTGCGCATGCTAGGTGTTTTCTTGTCTTGACTGAGAATGACGGGCTCTGCGGACCTCCTTGGGCGCAGAGTCTTGAAATTTGTGGCTCCTGGCATAAAACAGCCCATATCTTCCAGTTCCAAACATGCATTTCTGAACCTGACAGCCATATGTGCAGCAGAATGCCCCACCCTTTCTTGCATTCGCTTTCTAGTTTGAACTGACGAAGCCATCTTCTAATCACCATAAACAATGTTGTGTTTTGCTTCGCCACGCTGCTGCGGCTGCAATTGCATGCTACAGCTACTGCTGCTGCCTGCGGCTGCCTGCTGCTGCTTGCTACTGCCTGCTGCCGTTGTTGCTGCTGGTTTCTATTGCACCAGGAAGTAGCAACAAACATCTATGTGAAGGACAGAAAGGACTGGCTGAGGGATGAGAAGCACAAATCCTTGGACTTGTAGCACTTCTTGTATGCGACCTGGTGCATTTTTTGTAATCAATGGTGTCCGGGAGTATGGCGTGAATTCTATGTGATTGTAGTGGAAGATCATTGCGAAGCTCATTCTGGTCCATCGAGAACACGAATAGGATGCCCAGACTTCTTGGAGTCTTCGAACATTTCTTTTGCAGAGGCCGTCGGTGATAAGCGTTGTTCATTCAATGGCAATGCTCACCATCTGTACTTCCAGCTAGTGGAACTCTTATTCAGAAGACACATAGCCCCCACAAGCGACACGAAAACTTCAGACAACTTCTGAAACGCCATTTCATCACAGAACCAGTGTGGAATCCTTACCTACCAGTACTTTCAGTCAGAGTAGGTAGAGCCTTGTCGTCCTTCATAGAATCTCCGGTTCCACTCCAAGGTGCTGCTGTCTGGTATGTTTCTGCCGTGGCCCTGCGCAGCAAGGCCCAGACAGATAGGGGTTTCTGGCAATGGTGTCAAGGAAGCTTCAAACCTGTGGGGTTTGTATGTGGATTATTCGAGGAGGATCATAAAGTCCCATGTCATAGGAATTGGATTGACATTGCTGCGCTCTCTTGTGTCCCTCCAGGACTCGACGCATGTAGCCAGGATTTAGACCTGATGGCTGAGCTCTGTGGAACACAAGGGGCATCAGCTGCGCAGACCAGGGGCTTTCTGGTTTTGTTCGTGCCTTTTTTTTGGGGCCACTGGTCAGGGAGCCAGCTTTTGGGGTCAGAGCTTTGTGTGTGGGATATGTTTTGTAGGATCAACCGGGTGGTTCAGGTTCTACTGTGGGCTGCCTGCACATCAGCAGAACAAAACAGAACAGCTGTCGGCAAACGTTGCCACTAACACGAAGCACATCATGCATGAAAATTGTTTGGTGCAAGCCTTGCAGGTTAGTTAAGTGCTGGTACTAGATCATTCGTGTCCATTTCCTCAGTTCCAGAACGTGATGCCTTTTGCAGAGCAGGGTGCATTTTGAGCGAGATCTTCGTAGAAGTTCTGGAATGCCAATTATTCATGACTGCTGAACTTGGGAACACTTCAATTGGTCTCAGGTGAGTTGGTCTTGAAACTACTGTACACTGAATTGATCTTGAATATAGATCCGCCATAATCCCTACGAGAACGTTGCACGCGCACAGAAACGAGTCCGGAATTTTGCGAATCTGAGAACTTAGCTTCTTGGGTTTATCAGGTTCTTTTATGCCAGTATGTAGGGACGGGGATATCATACCAAAAAACGCTCACATGCCTAGTCGCCCACGAGGGCTCCCTGCAACCTATGGAAGGAGCCAACGACATCTTTGAGTCTCGGGTAGGTGTTGCTCAACGATGGCCTCAGAGTCTTCTGTTTGATTCCCTGCAGAGGTCTCCTGATGCAACATGAATCCTGCAATGCCGACGTCTTTGCGAGTCATTTTTCAGTCCAAGGCCTTAGCTTTAGCCAGTAACCCGCATTACTTAAGGCCCTGTATCGAACTTGCCTTGAAAGGCGACCCCCGCTGCATTTGTTGCGGCTGGGACTGCTGCGGCCGCGCTGACGCCATTTGTAGCACAACTTTTGGAATCAAGAATTAGAGGGCTATGTGGTAATTGTCGATGTAGGGGGATAGGACAGGCATAGGACCAGCAGCGTTATGAAGCCTGAGCGTTCCCTGAACCCCGAACCCCTGCTGCTGAGCTCCAAGCCCGACATGTTTGGTACGTAACACTGTGGTAAACCCTGAATAACATTCTCCACCCAAAGCTCTGTGCCAAAAATCACTTGCGGTAGTATTCGTTGTGCGGGTAAGAGGACCGCATCCCAAAACAGAATGATGCCAATATGACACTTATTGGGCACTCCGAAGTCTCCAGTCAAGCACGCAACAGGGTGCTTGCCTTAAAACAGAAGGATCTTCTTGTCATCTTGCCCAGAAGCAAACCTCTGTACATAAACTTTGGTGGTGGAGAAGCTGCCAGGCTCGTTTTCTTTAGCACCAGCCCTATGTGGCTCATTTGTGAAAGGCATACCTAGGGCCTCCCAGGCAACAGCTCTTTCCTCGAATGCATGTGCCCAAATCATTTTCTCGACGTCCAAGCTCAAACTGCTTCTGTCGCAAACTTGCAAAGTGTCCTTACCTTAAGCTCTATCAAGTCAAATTTCTTTCTTCGCCAGGGCCTGTGGGCGGCGTGCCCCGAGACGGCAAGATTAAGAAATCAAAGTCGCGTCCGGCGCCCTGCTGTGGATAGGTGGGGGGTTTTGTGGTCAGAGTATCCCGGCATATTACGGTTCCAAGCCCTGGTTTGCATGTTGATTTTTCTAGTCAAATGGTGTTTTGTGGCATCTTGCCAGGCTCCTGGCTGCCAAAACATTCGGCAAATGCCAACCAAAATAACCGCTTGAATAAATGGGTTCAGACCCAAGATGAGGAGGATGGTCGTGATTGCCTGTGGTTTGTTCCTGGTTGTCATCTTCTAATGGACACATATGTCTGGAGTACCTTGAAAATCCTTGGAAAATCATCAGAAGATGCATGACCCGGCTGTTCGGTTTTCTTGCGCTTGTGACTCGCCAGGATTGCAGCTCAGATAGTTGTTCCTCTCCAGCAGTTGAACAGGTTGCACAAGATGATGCTGGAAAGTTCTTGAAGACATTTTTTTTCCCTTTCTTCCATGTCTTCATGCGGATTATCTGTTTGGAGTAGAGGAGGGCCCACTGCAGCATGGCTGCCTAAACTGCAAAACCCGGACCCATGCAGCGAAGCACTTGTAGCAGATTCGGATGCGTGTGAAAAGGTATTTCGTGTGAGACACATGTTTTGAGAAGTTTTCGTAGAGACACTTGCTTCCCTTCTTGACTACACGTTGCTGAAGCTATGTAGATTGGCGTTTCTTGGAATGAGGGCCCGTGCAGGTCGCAAAATATGAGCGTCCCTTTTGACGGGACACTCAAAGAGGGACACGCATGTCTGAGAAGCGTTTCGTTTGCCGAGCACGCAGTTTTCATGTATATCTTATTTGCTTGCTGCTTGGTTCCAGCAAGTAGGACGACTGTTTGCGAAATTGTGAAAGCCATCCTTCTACGAGCGACACTAGTCGCTCTGCGCAGCTGCGAATCCACATGCGGCACCTGGGTTTACAGCCCAGGTAGTAAAACGCAAGCAACTGGAGTACATGTAGGAGTGGGAGGCACAGGAAGAGGGGTAGTAGTAAACATAGAAGGAAGATGAGGCGGCTTCTTGTTTCAGGATGTCGGCTTCTGGCTTATGCTTCAGACTTGTATGTCTGAAGTGCGCTGATGTGTGAGCATGTGTTCAGATTGAGTTCAGATGACATTGTAGGATTCTACTGCAGTGCTTACACGGCTTAGCGTTTAGGCTTTAGATTAACTGTGTGGCTGAAGCTTCGGGTCTCATAGCTGAAAGGAGCCTTCACAACAGCCGAGGTATTATGGGTCCTTGTGGCTGCTTGCTGTCACAGCTACGTGGTGTTGCGGGGCGGTCAGAAACGTGCAGCAACTGGGTTGATTTGAGAGTTGCTGTAAACTAAGGGAGCAAAACCTCCGGACTCTGTGGCGCGCGTGCGCGTTTCGGGAGATCCCCTCATCGTTTGGGAAAAATATGTTTTTGCTCGGACACGGTATGCTCAGAGGTCTGTTAGAGCAGAATTCTCGGCCCAACATCGCAACCTCAAACAAAACCACTTGGTGTGAAATGGATCAGTCTAAGAAACGGTCAGAATGCTTTCTCCGAATCCGTTCTCCACATTAGGGGTATTCCCAAGTGCTTTTAGAACACTTTCGGAAAACAAAACCTCACACCCTCCTCAGTTCCAGTCCTGTTTGAGGCAAGTGCAACGATTGGATTTGAACGACACCATGCAATTTGAGCTGGATGCTGCGGGCTCCAAATGCGATAGTTCCTGAGCCTTCAGAGCAATGATTGGTTTTCCGGGCCCTTTGGTAGGGGAATATGGGCTTGGGTTGAACGATTTTTAGCTGAGAGCTCTGTTTTGAGCAGAGGCCTAAACATCAGCTTCACCTGCCGCGAAGGGCACCCCCCGAAAGACCATGAAACTTCGAAAGCCCCTCGATTGTCCCTTGAACAATCTTTTCTTGGCGCTTTGAGAATGACCGCCCAGGCTTCCTTGACAAAAAGATGAGACAAATCTTCAATGCGAAGGGTCGAGAGCACTGTCGACGTGCTGTACATCTACCCGGAGGTCAGTGCGTAGGGTTCAGGGCCATGGCTTGAACAGACCTCGCAAAAGCCTTTCTCAGCATGTATGGTTTGGGTCTAGGGGGTTTGGGTCCAGGGTCTATAAGTGCCAGTTTACCTTTCATTTTCCATGTTTTTCCATTTCATTCTCCATTATTGGAGTAATGCCCTCACGTATCTCTGTATAATCCCAGCATAATCCTCCTATATAATGTCGGCTTACCTCTGTGTTGGGCCCTGGCTTGTTGCTTTTGCAAAGTTGCTTTCGTAGCATTGGTTAAGCTGGCAGTGACACAAGCGACACGCGGACTGCTGGTGGTTTTGTGGGGTGTGGTGTACAGTACAAGGAGGAGATTTTAAGATGAGAAGTAGCAGTAGCTCTAGAAAAGGTAGGATGAGCAGGAGGAGGAGGAGGAGGGAGATGAGGAGGAGGAGGAGGAGGAGGAAGGGGGGACGGCCAAGCGTTTGCCCTGCCCGCACCCCTTAGTTTTGATCCCCAAATTCTAACCTTCAATTCGAGAAGCCAAACTAACTCAACGCCAGATCCAACAAGCTTGATCCTGAGCCCAAGGAACCCGACCCTGAACCCTAGCCCTAACCCTTGACTCTCAATCGTCGTCCATGAGACCTGAAAAGGGAACTCCTTTCAAAGGGAAGGCCAAAGCTCTGATAGCCCTAACCCCCCTAACTTAGCCTCAAACCCAAAACCCTAACACCAAACCCTGAGCCGCACACTAAGCCAAGACAAACTAACCCTAACCGCTTCTTCATCATCGTCATCATCGTGCTCATAGTGGTGGGCCATGCGATTGCAACGGTAGAGGTACTCGTTATAGCAGTGGTCACATGAGTCATATTCATAATCTTCATACTTGTAGCAGTACTGTTCCAGCAACATCCCTGCAAAAGGAGGATCACAACGGCGCTTTCTCCATGTGCTCCTCGGGCTCCTTTGAGCCCAGTGTTTGTTTCCGTCTTGTGCACATGGCGCATCACTACTCCGAACCTCGCTGATTCAGATAGCTGCTCCGTTTTCTTTTTCTAGGAATGACCTTACTAGAAGCCCTTTAAGTCTTCAAGGCGTTCTTCCATTGTGGCTACTGGGCACGGATCCTCTGTAGTGACCTTGAGAAGGCATCCAATCTACTCCTCTCTATGTAGTTGGTGCAAAGTCTAGCGGAACCTTTAAGATCACTTGGGTGGGTAACCCCTGAACCTGGAAGCACACTGGCCAGGTGCATTTTGTGCGTGTGGGATCCGTGCAGGAAGCCACTGCTTATGTGAAGTCACTGCCTGCCGAAACGAGGCGCAGTGTGGCAGGTTTGAAGGGTCGGGGGTCTGGCGAAAACTAAGGTTTGGCGGTTTGGGGTTCAGGAAGATTTCGCTTTTGCGTTGTGAGATTTTGGGTTTAGGGTCTGCCTTGTTGTCTTTTGCTGGTTGATGGTGACTCCCGAATCCTAGCCGAGGCAACTTGAACTTTTTAGCAATTTAAGTTTATATGTTATCTCGATTCTCCGTGTCAACTGATGAAGTTAGTCAAGGGAACGTGGAGGAGTGGATCCCTACAGTAGTCCCCATGTGCCCCCATCAAGTAACAACTGAGCGATAAACGGAGTTGTGTTGAAAGCCATGCCATTGCCAGGAAGTTCTCCGCCAGTTCCAGGGACCACGGCTGCCACCGCGGCCACTGCCATCCAAGCCCACCGTCACCGGGGCCGCCGCCACTGCCATCCACGCCACCGCCACCGCCATGAAAAACCCCCACCCCCACGACCGCCACAACCCCGACTAATGTGCAAATCCTGCTAGGGACCCTAAAAACATTGATGCCAAAAATGTGGATGCAGGTTCCTGCTGAACACACCACGGCCCTGCTTACACCCTGATCCCGCCCTGAGAGGCTTAAGCATGTAGTCTTCGGTGGGCATGGCAATCCAACATCGCTAGCGCGTCTGGCTTTTTCGAGCAAGTGTTGGGTCAGAGATAGTTGTGGTGGTTCAAACACCCCACGTATGTACCTTTTTCTCATCCTATTTTTGCGTATTCGAGCCTCAAAGTCCAAGGTGGGGCGATGAAGCTGATGAGAGCGACACGGTCATGCCTGAGTTGCGCGTTGACGAGCCCGCCACGCGGGAGCTCCTCAGTGTGGTCTATCCTCATCTCATCGTCGACGGCGAGGATTACGCTCTGCGGTGTTTAAGGTAGGGTTGCGGTGGGGGTGCGGGCTTAAGTTTGCAGAGCTATGAAATTCGGGTTCAACTCGTCCCAGAACCTTGACTTCCTCATGCATAGCAATCTTGGCAGGAGCGCACACGCTCCACAGTTTTCCTGGACGCATGCCTGAACGGCAAGACGGTGCGCGACAAAAACATGCTGCTGTTCGTTGCACACCAGCTGGCGGGCACAAAGGTGGGCTGTGATGTACAAGGAGTAGAACTTCAGTCATGGCTTCTGTTCAGCATGGGTTGTTAAGCATGCTGGTTGCATAATTGCCGGTTTCACTCTGACTGCTGTTGCCATCATTCTCATTGATGATGAACGAGTATGGTACGCACCGAGCAACATTCCGTTGAGCGAATCTCAGGGATTCACTGTATGTTTTCTTGATCCGGACGGATGTCTAGGCTCGTGCTTACATGCATGGATGGTTTGTCTACAAATCAGTGCCCAGGTGTTTGCCTCGCAGATCTCTTTTGACAACAGCCAGTTTGTGCTTGACAACTATCTGCACTTCAATGCGCACATCATGAGCAACAAGAAGGATTGCCTCAGGTTTGCCAGCAGTGAGGTGTCGTCCAGTAGCTTATGCATTTTAACGGTGGACAAGGTTTGGGCATCCCCAAATCCAAATCGTTGTATGAGTGCCACCCGCGGAGGAAGTTGTAAGCCCAAACCTTGCAACTTAGAAATCAGGAAGCCATGAATGTCAGACCCCAAGAGAAACCCAATTCATCTAGGACTTTCGTCCTATGGTTTTGTTTAAAACCGTTTGGCCATCCTATGTTTGCTAGACCTTGTTACCAGACGAGTAAATTGCGACTAATGGTAACGGTTGAGAGTTCATAAATCATTACTAGTCTTGTTTTTTGACGCTGTTCGTGCCTTCTGTCAAGGGGCTCCTGAGATGTTAGAGACACCCACGATAAAGTTGAAGGCTTACCTACGCTTGCAATTCCAATCTTCTAGCTCAGCATCCTTGTCAGGCGCAGTTTGAGGACAGGTTGCCTACTAGCACTTCCTAGACATACAAGGTTCGTAGTAGCTCCTGTGGCAACTGTATTCCTGTAAGGTGACAAGCTGAAGATGTAAGCTTTGAGCCTAAACCCTCAAACTTTAAGTGCCACACCCCAATCTGAAGGATAAGATGGTCAGCACCCTGCTCCACCCTGGGCTACGGGAGTTGGAGTTCCATCCGTACCGGGCTTGCAAAATCAAGCGGCTGGGCCAGGATTTATGATTTCTTTCTTCGTGCGGTTTTGAAGTCTTTTCATGAATTTTGGCAGTCCTGGAATTGAGGACTTTCACCTGAAAAAGGCAAAGCTCGAGGCTCTAGGGCTCTAGGGTCTAGAGTGCAGGTGCTTGCGTCTTGACCTTTGCATGGAACGTTGGCATTGATCTAGAGTTTTCTAAAATGCAAGGAGGTTGTCAGGCGGTCAAGGTGTTTCAGACGCATCAGCCCGCGGCACGCAGTAAACAGCCCTTAACCCCAAGCCCTAAAGGCAATTGATGTTTCTGGGTGTGGAAGCGATGGTTCTGTGGTCTAGGCCCTCAGCCTGATTTGGGGGCGTGCTAGGTTACTCTACAGGTTCTCTTGTACGCTTGGGGCGTTGATGCAGGCTCCAAGGTAAAGGAGCCATGCCATCCCTCGTACATCTGGCATGTGGGTATCATGTCATCCCGAAGAGGGGCCCCTGTATTTCTTTGAACATCCCAACATATCCCTATGCCGCACCCTGACACTCACTCTAGGCAGTTGGTGGCCTCGGCGCAAACCATGGAGTCCTGTGCTGAGTCGTGCCTTGGACCATAAAGGTGTTTGGAATCTATGTTTGGGGTTCTGGGTTAGACAGGAATAGGGTCAACAACGTTGTAATCAGGCGTTACCTCTAGCGATTCTCATGGCACTTGTTGTGTACCTGTGAATGATTCTGGGTGTGAACTTTTACTGGGGCAGTCGGGGAGGTCTGGTTGGGGATTGAGAGGCTCTCTGGAAGACGAGTCAAAGTTGTTACAAGCTGGGAAACTGGACTCATGACAGCAGTTTACTAAAAGCTGAGGTCTTGAGAGTCTTGTGAAAGATTTTTCTTCTTCGCAAGGCCTCATTTGGAGTGGGAAAGGCTTACTCTCTGCATCCTAAACGCCAGACACCTCTACTAGACCTTCTAGTCTCAAGAAGGTCTAGTGCTTCAATCAGTCTGTTTTTTCAATCTTCTGCTCCAGGTGAACATGATAATTTATCATGCAAACCTTCCTGAAGAGTTGGTGCCCCAAACAATCAGTTGCCAATCTCCCAGCCCCCACCACATTGGAGAAGCACCCTTTTTTGGATACGTGAGGGTGGGTTTGTTTTGAAACTGGGGTCAAGTTCCCATCAGAGAACCTCAAGCGGCCACACTCCTACTTCTACTATCATTGTTGCTCTTGCTATTGCCTGTCTATTGCTGTCGTTAATACAACTCATACCACAAGTGCTTTGCTAGTATTCGTATCATTACCACTTTGTCTATTTCTATGAGGGTTTGGAAATATGTTAGTATTGCAAACTGGGATTATTGACGTTGGTGACGCAGCCAGGTGCCAGAAAGCAGGCGATGGGTGCGAAGCTTTCACCTACTTCCCTGATGGGAACGCACGCATCAATCAGGTCTGCTACCACAGCAAGAGATGCTTGGATTTGTCCATGGTGCCTGGTAGGACTGGGGGAATGGATTACGAGGAGTACTATTCATTGGGAGTACAAAGCTAGTGTGGGATCCATGATAGTTTCAGGACTTTCGCACGAGAACCCAGGTCTGCAAGCCTTCAGGCTGGGTTTGCGGTCAGTGACCTCTGCATGCATGAAGAACAAACCTCCCAGCTGTGAGTTTTTCGGTCATCCATGGCATGCTTTGTGAGACCTTGAGCCATACTCGCAAGCAGCGTTGAACGGGCTGTATCTTGGTCATGTTAGGGCAGAATAGCAGTAAGAAAGGCCTTGGACATTCAGGCCGCATCTCATTCTTAAGGGCTGAACTCCAGCATCCTATAATACTCAGTCGCAGACTTTCAGTCCACAGGCTAGCCCGCAGCCCAAGAACCCAAAGTCAAATGTTGATTAGTAGTAATCCTGGAAAAAAGGCCGAGCTGACACAGAGGCAGTGATGGCAGCAACACATTGCCAGTAACATTCCTGAATTGTTTTCAAGCCATGAGTTCTTCTCGAGCGTTGAATGCCCAATCTCCAGACCGAAGCGCTCGACCTGGAAACTTGTCCTTTGAATGAGCCCCAGCCTGGATCCCAAGGATGCTCGGGCATGAAGAGGTCGAAAAAAGGAGCTATGGTCTTCACTAAAGCGACCGAGGACAGATGGGTCAGCGGGATGGGGCTCAGCGCTTTAGGAGCCTTGGTTATGGGTTCAAGGCGACGCAGTTTTCTGACGCAGATTTTTCTGACTCATTTGGCGGCAATTCGGGAATTCCAGGTCAGGATTTGACATCGTGATAGCATGGTACGGGTGGTTAAGGTTCGGGATATTTCGCTTTAGCTTGGTGGGTGTCTTAATGCCATGGGTCCATCTTGCATGCTTTTCTATTGCAATGTAGAGGTCTTGTGACTATAAGGGGGTACCAATGTTCTGATTAGTGTGCCGTGTCGATTTCGAGGCATTCGTGAACTGGGTTTTCAAGGTCAAGGCTTCATGGGTCCCAATTTCTTGTGCAGCAGGACAGGTAGGTGACACTTTTTGTTACGGATCCCGAATTTTGTTTTCATCCCCATATCTCCTTAAGGTCCCCAAGTACAACCCATGTTTGAGAGCCCCGCATCTGCATCATCCCGCCTCACCACTTGCAGGCTACTCAACCCTGAAATGCTTGGCCATCATGCGATCTAAGAAAGGAGCCTCCATGATTTCCGTCATGTCCCTGGAATCTGTCAGGGTAGCCTCAGCCGCAACAAGTGCATGATGAGGAGGACGATGACGAGTCGGATGAAGATGATGACTGATTCAGCGGCTGCCGAAAAGGATCTCTGGGGGTCAGGGACGACAAACACGATGCGTGATGTATTCTTGGGATGAAGCCTCATTTTGACGGAATCGGGAATCGAGGTTGTGTTTCACATTCCCAATTTAAACTTTTTTTTTTCTGGTATGAACGCAGCAACTCACAAATGCCTACCAGCAGTTTGGTTAGGGCATCAAAATCGCTTGGACGGGCGCCCTAAGCGCACAGCCAGTTGGAGGAAGGGTTGTTTGGGAGGGCGCAGGCCACAGAACGGAAGTTCGGGGCAGGTAGCCGGCTTAGGGTTTAGGGCCTCTTAGTTCTGGGCCTCTTCATGGTAGGTTCTCCGGGAGAGTACGAGCACAGCAGAGCTCTGAGCATCGGAGGGCTATAGTGGCTTTGGCGAAGAAAGAATGAATTCAAGATGAAAAGCAGGTTTTGTGGCAGGCAAGCACGTTCATGGGCAGTTGTGTAATTTCTGCGAACCTGTGAGAGCCAAGCACCTGAACTCTTTCTTGTCGCGATTGCAGCCATGGCAATCAGGCCAACACCCTGACTAAAAGCATGCTGGTCGGATGAGGAACAAACCCATGACAGGTATCATATTCCATACCTCACAGTCCCGTAAACCTTGATAGCCACCACATGTCCCAAGATGCTCTGAAGCACCTCCACAGACTTGATAAGTAGGCTCTGAATCTTACTTTTGCTCGCCGATTTGAGCCGGGCTTGCCAGGGTGTTCAGGCTGCAAGGCTTCAAGGACGCACGGGTAGCTCTTGCAGCTATGTCCTCAAACCATGTATGCAGCGGCTAGATTTTTGACTGTAGATAAGTAAGCCAATAGCAAATCCTGATCTCGAGATGCTTACGGCCTTGTCGGCCCTCATCCCCTCAACCAGCAGCCTTGCACCTTGACTTTCCCTGTCCTGTGATGGCCATCATGATCTGTGCTGCTTTTAACCCTCCACTTTTCACGTTCTTTCTAACTAAGCTGCAGCCCCTAGACCGTTTTCCTGAACCCGACCTTGGCTAGAGGTCTGAGACTCATTGACAAGAACCTCATCAGCCCGTTCGTTCCCTGCTGGTGTTGCCTGAGTCTGAGCATATTCTCCACCTTCACCGGGTCAAGAGTTAAAACGGTGAATGCATGTGCAAGATGGGCTCAGCACTACAAGGTCTAACTTGTGGCTGACCTGTGGACCGATTCGAACTGTATGCGAGGCATTTTATGAGGCTTTGTGCAGTCATCCAGAGCCAGCCACGATTCTCCTAAAACCATTTCCTGCGGGCTAAGCTTGGTTGGATTGGTTGGTATGCCTCCTTGCTCAAGCCTCCTCGCTTGGGTGAAAGCCTTGGTTGGGGAGTCCTTGAGAAGTAAGTCCATTCTAAACTCCTCCTAGCCCACACATGGGGTCATGGTTGCGACATGTAGCAATCCAGGCCCCAAAGCCCTAGACCCCAAACCCTGCTCGGAGGTTTCCCAAAGGTAGGCGGTAAATTTTTGGAGGCCCCCATACTAAGGATTATCGTATTTTGGGGTTCATATCCGGGTACCCTATTACGGGCAACTACCACTTGTAGACCCTCAAGCCTCTTGCCCTGGATCACCCAAGGCCCTCAATCGCAGCAGAGTCACAGCAGTTTTCGGTCTCTTATCAGCTGGTATGTATGTATATATATATATATATGCACGTATATATGTTATACGCCATACGCTCGCCATTCCTCCATTCACTGCTCTGAGTAGTATCTGTTTATTGCCAAGACAATGCAGGGATACATGGGCTATATAGGGTTTTATAAGTCTTCTATAGGAATAATTGAGAATTTATGTATATAAAACTCCCTATACAACCCCAATATAACCCTCTAAAGCCCTATATACATCCCAAAGCAATCCCTACATTGTTGATTGTTATTCTGGATCCATTCCAAGGTTGCGCTGGAATGAGGCTCCGCATTCCGATCACCTGTGCCGATACCTATTTCCGGTGTTGCTGCTGTGAGTGCGCCGGAGCCTTCGTCTAATGCTAAAGCTTGAACGGAGGGTTGAGGGTTTGTGAGCTGTATATTGCGGTTATATATGGATAATGGAAAGGAAAATGGAAACTGCTGTAGTATAAAGGGATCATACAGGGTTATATAGGGATTTTAGAGTATATATTTTCTGCACTAGATCACGCGCTAGGTGGCGGCCCAACCTGTGTGGGGCGTGTCAGCCGTAAGGGAGGTCCAGCATTACCTGAGCTGCTGGGCTTCTCTTGGGGCAGTCCCAGAGCAAAGTCTCTAAGGCAGCCTTATTTCGGGAAACTATCTCATGGAATCTGGCATGATCTTCCGCCATATGTATATATAGTTTGGCAGCGAGGATGTCCGTACAGAATTTCTTTGGTGGGAGTGGTTTTGAACAGGACTTGCGCTATATGAGCTTGAGCGGACGTTGTGGGGCTGGGTGCCTTCAGTGGGTCTACACGAATAGTGATCTTTTCCATGTGGGTCGTTTTTGCGGTCTCTTTTGCCAGTCGTTCGACCAGCAAGTCCTATGGGTTGGGAGGTTCCTCATGTAGATCACTGGTCAGAGGTCATGGTCAACCCTGGGGTGTTGACTGGAGCTGTCATCGGTATTGGAGTCTTTAAAAGCTCACATACCGAGAAGCTACGGTTTCGTTTTCTTTTTTCATCATGCTAGGGAAAGCCGGCTCCTAATCGTTCAGTGTTCAGTGATGATGCAGCTGGCATTTCCTTCATATAAGTGGAAGAGGCGAAAGTTCAAGGGGAAAACGGAGATTCTAATTTTGAGAGTTAACTCTCACGACAAAGCACTTCCACATTATGCTCATCAGCTTACGCTTGCCAATGTCCCGATGACATACGAGGACAACTGTCAGTATGGTTTACCATCACCGACTGTTTTTCTTTTTGTCATTTTTCGTCCCATCGAAGCTTTCTGGCCAGGTACTCCTTCAGCACTGGGTTCCCAGAGATGGACTCTGGCATCTGTCCAGATCTTAGCAAATGTAAAAACGACGTAGGAAGCTAAGGAATAACCACGGCAGAAGTGCTTCCTCAGGCCAAGGGCTGTGCCACTGGTTTTTGCTGCCCCTCAATTGTTGCATGATGCAGGGTGCAGACACTTCACACTTTCCAGCACACTTGATGGGGCAAGCCTTGAAAGCCATGGGTCCTTCGGTTGGAGAAGCAAATCTCTCTGAAATTATGGAGTGGTTTTCCATACCCGCGCCAGATGAACAATTACGAACAAATAAATCAGCAGGGCAGCGCCGCAATGCGTCTCAAGCAAAGCCAACAGACAAGTCACAAGGAAGACGTTACGACCCTTCTCCCCGTTTGCCGAGGCCTTCACTTGGTCAACTGCTGGTGCTGCTACTCCTTGGGCCTTCCTGGCTTGCTTTTCAGAGTGTGTGGGATTTTGCGGGGGTGGGCTTCCGTACAAAAACGAGTGCTTGCCAGTACTCGTGGACAGATGCTTCATACGCATGTTTCCAGGCAAGTGCCCTCCGACTATACGCCACAACCCCATCTGCGCGCTCTGCGGCTGCCGTGCCGCACGAGACTGGTGGTCTCCACAGCAGCACACCCTGGGGGCCTAAAGACAAGGCACTCATTTAGGTATCTTACTGTGGCAATGTAATGTTCCGAATGACTTGAGACATCCCCCAATCGGCAAATCCAAGGCTTAAACTCAATGCCCTGTATCATACCTTACACATCCTGCACTGCCCTCACAGCTCGGAAGACTTAACCTTCGAGCCTGCGCCCTAAGCCCTGAAACATGAACTGCTCAGCCAGCTGCCTCATCCAATTTCGAGGGCTGCATTCAAGCTTCAGCGCATTCCAGCAAAACCCGGCATTATCCGGCACTTGAATAATCGGATTAGCTTCTTTTAGCCAGGTGAGGAGCTTAGTCAAAAAAATCGGAAAGTGGGGTCTAGGACCCCCCTGGTTTCGCGGCGCAGCAAAGACCAGATGGCTCCCGTTCCAAGTTTGCCAGCTGCCGACGAGGACGTGTGGTACAAACTTTCCTCCCCTGAGACATTTCTACATATTTTATAGCATACAGGCTTCTTAATATCGGGCCTGCAAACAATGGCCGTGAGTCGAGGAAGCTGAAAGTTTCAGGGGCTAGATTCTCCTGCTTTTGCTCCTCAGTTCTAATTGTAGGACTCTAGACCATGCTAAGCTCCAAAGCCAAGTATCTGTTGAGGTGCTGAACGCTAGAGTTGATCCCCACAAGCCTCCAACATCCTGGCCACTTGCATCCAATCTCTGGATCTGCAACTGTAGCTATCGGGCTTCATCCTCAACCCTGACATCTCCAACTGGCCCTATAGGCAAGGTGGTCTGGTCTGGAAACCCCAGCAAGCATTCATCCACTGGCAACCCGTAGGATGTTTGTTTTGCCCATGTCCCCCTCCTAGCCCTACGAAAGCTCTACTGTCGCAGCAATTCCAAATTGAACCTTGCGCGTTTGAGAAATGTCCATCTTGCCTCGGAAGCCTGGATTTCACGGGGCTCTGGGTGGCCTGAAGGGCCCACAGAGCCAGAATCCTACCTCTTGTTGGTATGGAGCTAGGCACTGGATTATTCTGAAAACTTTCATAGGGATTAATGTGGGGATCCAGTTTTTCACTCCCGTCAGACAAGAGGCAAGGAATGCGTAGGCAATTTGCATCGAAGATCATGAGACCGGAGGGAGGCTTAGGATCCAGACTAGGACGTTGCGAACAAGGGTTTAGAAGAATTGGATTATACATTGTGGATGGGGGGCATTTTGAAAATGTAAACCTGCCGTTGAGGGAAATTCTTGCAGACTCATGGAAGAAAGGTTGAGGATGCACGGTGAAGGCTTTCAGTTTGGGCCCTCCCCTGTTTCATGATGGGAGCGGCGATGAGCTTTGCACATTCCCTGGATGAAGCACATCTCAGGCCTGAGGGGCTTTGGTGCGCCCTGCAGCATGGAGTCACCATGCTTCACACGTTAA